TTGCACATTATACAATCTATTCCAATAAATTACAGCTCATCAGTCACCTATTATTTATCTATCCCCAACTCCCTCAATTATAATTACACAGAATCATCAAGGTTGGAAAATACCTTGAGGATCATCCAGTCCAACCATTAACCTCACACTGACTGTTCTCAGCTCCGCCAGATCCCTCAGTGCTGGGTGACCCGACTCAACCCCTCCAGGGATGGGGACTCCACCACCTCCCTGGGCAGCCCATTCCAACACCCAACAACCCATTCTGAAAAGATTGTATACAATGATTTTGTTTTATTCATTTTTCTTAATGTTAAACTTGTTGGTTTATGTCATTATTTACCTTTATACATAGACTCTAAAACCAGGATGAAGAAAAAAAATCCTAACACTGATAAAACTCTGATCTGAAGAAGCCTATTTATTCTTCCAAATCAAAATCTCTAATCCTTCATCCCACCATGATATTTCAACACCACAGAAATAATAATCTGCGACCATGTTATCTCAGCTGTTCCCTGAACAGTGCAGAGGAATTCAAAGTCAACGTGAAATCCAGGCTTTGTGAATACAGTGCCAATTACTTTAGCATTCATTAGTGAACAAAACTCCCATGGAGAATAAATGCAACTTTTTGACAGACTATGAATACAGACCATGCAACAGAGCACTTGAGCGTGGATCAGAGTCAGTGAACATAAATGAGGAAGCTGGATCCAAAAGCTTGGTTTTCATTCTCTTGAATGTGGCAAGAGGCCTTGCAGGGGGATCTGGAGAGATTGGAGCACTGGGCAATCATCAGTGGCATAAAACAATGAGAACAAATGTCAGATTCTGTACCTGGGAAGGAGTAACACCGGGCACAAGTGTAAATTAGAGAGGAGTGGCTGGAGAGCAACCCTGCAGAGAGGGACCGGGGGTGCTGCCTGACAGCAGGGTCAATGGTTGCACTGTGCTCAGCGCCGGTGCAGCCTCACCTTGGGTGCAGTTCCGGCCCCCACACTTTCAGAAGGATCTGAAGGTCCTTGAATGTGTCCAGAGGAGGGCAACAAAGGTGGTGGAAGGGCTGTAAGACACGTCCTGTGAGGGGCGGCTGAGGACTTTGGGCTGCCTAGTTTGGAGAGAAGGGGCTGGGGGGCGACCTCATCGCTCACTGCAGCTTCCTGGGGAGGGAGGTGCAGAGGGAGGTGCTGAGCTCTTCTCCCTGGGATCCAGTGCCAGGACACATGGGAATGGTTCAAAGCTGCATCAGGGGAGGTTCAGGTATGACATTAAGAAGCATTTCTTTACCAACAGCGTGGTCAGATACTGGAACAGAGCTGCTGTGGCAAAGTGTCATTGTTAATTGCCAAGCTGTCATTGATGTATCTTAGTGCAGAGAGATGTCTTCCGTGAAATGCCCAATCAATCACCGCCGTCTGAAACGGAATCTCTGTGGTACAGAGAGTCAGGAGGTGCCGTTGGTGCCCCTGAACACACAGATTTATTCCACCAATCCGCAGTACTCAACTTTTGCTTTGTAGGTTTCTGCTGATCTTGTCTGGCGACTTGCTCCTCTCTTTTTGTGGTATTATCAGTACTCTCAGAGTAGGAGGTGAGAGATGCACTGATGACATCAAATGCCTGGAGGTACATAAATCTGCTTTATGAATATTCTAAGCAATTTCATGCTGCTGTGTCCCTAAATTGTAGCCATTTCTGGTTTTTTAAGCTTGTCTCAGACCTAGCCTATGTATCAGCCTTGGAGCACAGTGTCTTCGGGCTGGTGGAATTCTGCAAAGTGTTTTTGTGATGCAGCCCTGCTCCGTCTAACCAACCTGTGTCCCTGTGGGTGTAGCAAAGGCACCTTTCAAGGGCTTCAAAGTTGCTTCCACCCCTAGCAGTACGGCATGTTGGAGTCGTAGTCAGAGCTGGAAAAACACTGCTGTTCCGAAGAAAGAGCTGATCTCCAGATCAGACAGGGGACCTACTCACAGTCGTGACTGATGAGTTGGTAGCAAAGTTTACATCTATAAATAGTGATCTCTTCTTTAACAATCTTGTTCTAATTTTTTTACTCATACAGATGCAGTTCCAAAGCAGGCAATATGTGAAAACAGTAAACTCTGACATGCAAACCGACACACTTTCTGATTGCTTTACAAATTGAAATCAGAATGCATTTCATGTCATAGCACTGTGCAATCAATGGAGAAATGATGCACGGACAAGTCTATGTAGTGTTGTTTAAAATTTAGAGCAATAATGGTTCTGTAAATGTTATTTTCAGCAAAAAATTAATTTTCCAAGTGTTCTGGTTTGAGCCCAGAGGGCAACTGAGCACTACGCAGCTGTTCACTCATCCCTTCCACCCCAGTGCTGGGAAGGAGAAAAAGGAATCAAAAGGCTCAGGAATGGAGATAAGGACAGTGAGAGGTTGCTCAGCCATTAATGGTCACATGCTCGTTAGGGGAAGAAAAACAACATCACTTTAATTCAAAACACTAATGATAATGACACTTAGCAGACAGAATGGAGCAGTGAGAAGCGCTACCCTATCTTAAAACACCTGCCCTAACCCCTCCCTTCTTCCCAGGCTCAGTTTTGCTCCTGACATCTCTCACTCCTGTGGCAGCAGCTCAGGGGCAGGGGATGGGGGTGCAGTCGGTCCACTGCTCCTTCCTGCAAGTCGGGGGAAGCACTCTGCTGCGTTCTTCCCCTGCTCCATGTGGCACCCGTCTCACTGGAGACAGTCCTCCACAAACTCTCTCTGCCGTGAGTCCTCCCCACAGGATACATTCTTCTCAAGATTCTCCTCCACGTCTTGCAGTCCTCCCAGTGCCCAGCTACAACAGGGGGGCTGCTCCTTCACAGAGTCCCAGGGTTGTCCCCAGGCTGCAGGCGAATCTCTGCTCCACCAGTGACACCCATGGGTGGCTGGGGTGGCCCTGCCATCTCACCACGGGATACAGGAGGGATCTTTGCTCCAGCACACCTACCCTCTTCCTCCTCCTTCCTTCCACTGACCTCGGTGTTGGCAGAGATGTCCTTCGTAACTCATCCCCTTCTTAAATAGGTTGTCGCAGAGGCGTGGCCATCATCACTAATTGGCTTGGCCTTGGCCAGAAGCGGGTCTGACTTGGAACCGGGGGAGCTTTGAGAAGCTTCTCACGGGAGGTTACCCCTGCAGGCCCTCCCTCACTGCCAAAGATCCCAGCACACCAAGGTCGAAAGCAGCTGGAGTAACACAGCCAGCCTCTCCTTACTAATAGAAGAAAAAAATTAACAAAAAGTAACAATTACAGCCCCTAAATCAATTTGGCTGCTTTTGACCATGTCCTTTAACAACCTAGAACAGAACAGAAGTTCTTTTATAAAAATAATCTACACCTATCAGCAAGATACTGTTCAGCAAGATAACTGTTTTCTGAAGGTCAGGTACAGAGTAGCTTTCAAATAGCTGATCAAGGACATTTACTGCTTCCCTTTCAAAGACATTTTTTTTCTAATTGCCTATGTGAAATTTTCACTCAGGAAAAAGTTAGAGAAATACTGGCAAATCCTCATGAACTGGAAAACCCCACAAACCTAAGGAGGGGCTCCAGGACAGGTGGTGGACTGAATATTATGTAAGCCCAAAGCTCTCTGTGCTTTCTGTTTTGCTGCAGCCAGTGATCCACTGGACACCTCAGAAAGGGGCTACGTAAGCAAGCACAAAGAGTGGGAATCAAGGAGAGACATAACAGAACACACGTATTACATACTAGTTGTGACAAGCATTGTTCTTGGATACCTACCTTCCCTCCTGCAGGTAGTCCTGCCTCACCCTTCGTGAGGAACTGAAGGAGTTAATGCCTCAGATTCATCGATATGAAAAACCTCAAGGACAAATCGTGGCCTTTGTGGTTAGTGTAAGGAATGAATTATCTGCCCAGGGAAGCGCAGTGTGTGGAAGCGTGCACAGCTCCGCCCCCCTGCAGTTCTGTGGCCTGATTCCCTAGATAAGCCTTGAAACAGGGAGATGTAGACTGAGTAAAACCGTATGTTTAATGCCTACACTTTAATTTATGACTTGAAGAAGCAGTTAAATATTGATAAGAGAGAAACTACCTCCCAGCAGATGGAGCCAATGACTGGATAATTGCCCAGGAGACAAAAAACTGAGGAAAAGGTCAAGGTGGTAGGGGGAGATGATGACCACCAACTCAGCTGGACAAAAGGTTTAATGCACCCCATTCCCCCTCAACACACATGCAAAACCCACGCTCTACCTTTTCCCCATCTCTCATGCAAGTGAGTTTGTGGAATACCTGCCTCTCCTCATCTAGTATGCAAATCAGCCCATAAAATGAACTTAAAATGTGTCAGAAAACTTCGCTGGGTCTGCACCCACCAACTGAGATTACCAGACCTGAGACAATGGTGGAACCTGGGGTATGGGGGTGCAATCTGGATTCTTGAATCTTTTTCTCTCCCTTTTTATTATTTTCTTTCCTCTTTCTTCTTTCCCCTTCCCTTCCCTCTTTCCCCCCTTTTCTTCCTCTTTTTTCCCCTTTTCCCTTTCCTTTCAATTTATCAATAAGAGGACTGATTGCTTATTATCCTTTCCCAAGTTTAAATTGTGTCTACCACAGGTAAAACATTTTAACCAGTTGTTTGGTGTCGTTTCACCTTAATTTAATCCAAGGGGACCACAGGACTTTTACGACTCCCTGGGCTCCCAGTCTGGGTTGTAACACCCTTGTTTGGGCGCAGTTTCAAACTAATCTGACAGGAACCTACTGCAAACTTCTGGTTTTGCGATGTGCTGATTTAGCAAGAGAAGACAACTGACGACTGAGTCAGCCAAGCCCCAGAGACAGCAGGCACGTGCCTCCCCTCCTGAACTCACCCTGTGGTTCCATGCCAGCAATCCAAAACGCGTGTGATGAGATTATGTGTCACAACGCCCACGGTTTCTTGTTTCTGAGAAAGATTTTCATCCACAGATTTCTCATTCCTTCCATAAGGCAATAGGTGCATTGTTTTTAGTAAATATGCATTTATTAGTATCTTGGTTTAATAATGGGAGTATTATACAGTTAAAAAGTAATTTGTCATACCCTAATTTTACTTTAGGCAGCACCATGCTTTTGTCTGTGTAATTATTCTGAACAGGGCTACATGTTCCTTTGCTAATGCAATTCACCCAGTCATGACCAGATCCCTTAAAGAATAGAGGCAGAAATGCATCTGCTGTGTCATCTGACGGTCAAGATGCTCAGACTGGAAATGGTTTACATGTGGACTAATACATTTGAAAGCTTGGCTGCATTACTCAGTAACTACCACTTCAATGCTTTACCAAAGCCGCTAACTACGCACAGTATTGGGGTCTTCCACAAAGACCAAGGAGCTCAAAGCAAAATCCTCACCATCCGAGCCTGACTAATGATGCTGACTTCCAAGAGATTATGCAGATGAAGAAATATTTGCCAGGCTGTAGCCAAAATTTAGAAGTGATTTTCAAAATGGATGGTCAATTAATATGATTCATTAGATTATATAAAGCATTTTATTTTCTTTTTCTTTTTTTTTTTTAAGACCAACAATCTAAAAAACATTTATATCTATAATACATAAAAATTAATTAAAATCCACATATAAGGTATGCAAATGTTAACAGATTTTGAAACAGTGGTGACAAACTTCCCAGGAAGGAGGTGGAAAGTGATAACTTCACTCTTCCAAGATCTATTTTTTAAACAGTGGCTTTCACTTGTGTTAAGAATCCATCTGAGACATCAAATTCTATAACTGACAGTGCTGTCTAGACTATTTTAATGCTAAGAGTCCAGATATCAGAGAATGAAAATTATCACAAGGCCACATCTCTGGTCCAGGTGTCACCTCGTTTAAATAATGCTGTTGTTCAGTAGCACTTCAGGCTGCCTAGCATTTTGCAGAATAAAAACTCATTACGGTATTAGACACGTACATAACCAACAGTCCTCCACAATAGATGATACTATGAAGCTTTTGCTGCCCAGCCTCTATTTATAAGCAAAACCCTTTCCAAAGTCTTTTCCTTCACGTGGCACCTTGTCACTGAACACTTAACTGCTGGGAGCACTGGGATGCAGTGGTTTGACTCTCGCTAGTCTGGAGAGGCCGAGTCTAAGACACTGAGTAGGTGACTTCACTGAAACATATTTCATAGAGTTATTACTGCTTCCCGATGCACCTGAAAATAATTTTAAAACAAAAAGGTATAAGAGGTTTAGGGGGGGGGGGGGG